CCCAACCAAAAAAAAAAAAAAAAAAAAAAAGAAAACATAGCCTGGCCATAGCTCAAAGAGTACATGGCCACATCATACCTTAGCAAGGCAATGGCTATTATCTACATTTATAAAGAAAGAGGGACAGGAGGCTGAATTGCCCAAGGACACTCAGGTAGCTATTATGGTGGCCCCCATGACTCACAGACCTCGGTCTGTGCATTTTACATCATTCTGTATCCCCAAGTGTCCCCCGGTGTCCCCAAGCATACTTACTTGATAGCACCCACAGCTGCGATCGCCCCAAAGACAGCCGGCCTTCGTACTTTCCCTCCAAAACCTCCACCCACTCGTTTGACATGACAGGTGATTCGGTTGATGGGGATGTTTAAAGTCAAGGACACCGTTTTCTGTAAAAGTGAGATCAGGGAATGTGTATAAGAGCAAAATGGGACCAGGTGTGATGACTCATGCCTGTAATCCCAGCACTTTGGGAGCCGAGGCGGGTGGATCTCTTGATCTCAGTTTGAGACCAGTCTAGCAAGACCTTGTCCCTACAAAAAATAAAAAAAATTAGTTGGGTTTGGTGGCATGCACTTGTAGTCCCAGCTACTCTAGAGGCTGAGGTGGTAGAATAGCTTGAGCCTAGGAGGTCAAGGCTATAGCGAGGTGTGATCCATGCCACTGTACTCCAGCCTGAGTGACAGAGTAAGATCTCCACTCTAAATAAACAAAAATAAAATAAATAAAAATAAGAATGAAATGGCAAAAAAATTTTTTTCCTCCCTGAAACACAATATCACAGCAGACTTCACTCATATCTATCGTCTGTAAAAATAAATGGGGACAGTCTGCATCTGTCTCATGGGTTCTGTTTAGTTCATAAATATTGCTCATCTTCACAGAGCAGCTTTCTAGCAGAAAAAATACCATTTTCTAGAAAAGAAACTGCTAGAGACCTATACTCCTGTTGAAAGCTGGCTTCCTGATCAAATGCCTAGACCTATTGCCCCAAGGAGGTAAAAGCCTCCCCAAGCTGCTAAAGAAGATGACATGCTTGCAGCTAAAACCTAGAGCTATTTGTGACCAGGGAAATGAAAATATGCTATAAAGCGACGTGTTCCCCCAAAGGTTATGTGTAATGATTATTTTAGAGAGAAATCAAGTACAGAAGTCTTTTAAGTGGTATGATCGAACGATCGAACACAGAGTCCATCTAAGCATAATGCAAATGAATGTACTTTTTAAACCTGAATTGACCGTGTCTCTGTTCTTTGATTTACATGAAAGGACCAGAAACAATAAAGGTTTTGAAGTCTTTGCTCTGCTGATGTTTAATACTTGGATTTCTACAGGTAAGATGGCCAGCAACTCTGAGGTCAAGGGACTGACTCCTATGATGGAATTTAGAAGGTGGGGAAGTGGGTGATGCTGGGCCTCACCTGCATGTGGGCTGGGTCCTGTGTTGATGCATAAATGTCCAATTCTTGGTCCTCTGTCTTGGGAATAACAAGCACTCTTTGCGTTTCCATGTAAAAATGTTCCTGTCCGCCAACGTGGACATCGCCTGTTGAGAATAAGCACAAGAAAACTTCTGAAGGGGCATGCTGGTGGGAAGCCACCATTCTGGGGATTCCAACCTGGTTTATCCTGACCGAGGACCAGGCATTTATCCTGTGGCAATCTGTTCTGGAGACTACAGTTTTGGATGTAAGTCAGTGCCGAGTTCTGTTCCTTACTCTGCCCTTGACTAACCCAAATCTTGGGAACATTGCTCTCCTGACACACCTCAAAACAAAGCGCGCGTGCGCGTACACACACACACACACACACACACACACACACACACACACACACACACTCACAGAATTTGTGAGGAAGAGTAGAAAAGACATTTGGCAAAGCACCAAGACTTGAGAGGATGAACTTTCTGAGGGGAAATGATCTACTTTTGATGTCTGCTTCAGAAATAGCACCAGGCACAGTATGGAGATTTCTCAAAGAACTACGAATAGAATTACCGTTCAACCCAGAGGTTTCACTACTGGGTGTCTACCCAAAGGAAAAGAAAGCATTATATGAAAAAGACACCTGCACTTGTATGTTTATCACAGCACTATTCTCAATAGCAAAGACATGGAATCAATGTAAGTGTCCACCAACAGGTGACTGGATAAAGAAAATATGGTACATATACACCATGAAATACTACGCAGGCATAAAAAGGATGAAATCACAGCAACATGGAGGAACTGGAGGTCATTATCTTATGTACAATAACTCAGAAACAGAAAGTCAGATACTGCATGTTTTCTCTTACAAGTGGGAGTCAAACAGTGGTTACACAGGGACACAGAAAGTGGAATCATAGACCATGGAGACTCAGGAAGGTGGGAGGGTGGGAGGAGGGTGACAGAGAAAAAATCACCTCCTGTGTACAGAGTTCACTATTCAGATCAGCGTTGTAGGAAAAGCCCAGACTTCACTTCTACACAACATATCCATGTGACAAATCTGTATTTGTGCCTCATTAAAAAAAAAAAAAAGAATAGAACCAGGCACAGGGTCTATCGGCTGTGCTGAGTAGCTTACCTTGGACAATGTGGTCAACTTTTTCAAATGCCTCCTCAATGTTTCCTTGTTCAAGCTTTTTTTCAGGGCACAGGAATGAATTGTGTCTTATGGCATCCTGAATGACAGAAAAAATACACAAAACCCACAAAAACCAGTCCTTCCTACTTTTTCTTCCACGGGTAGCTTTTCCTCAAACAAAAGCCAGCATGCTTTGGGATATCATTGTCTCCTGGGACACACGAACAGTGTCAAGCAAGCAAGAGCAAGCTAGGGTAGCAGGCTCCCTTGGAGATGAGATGTCAGAGGAATGTCCTCTAGATCCGCAGAAAAAACCAGCAGGAAGGATTCGTGAAAACTTAAGGAGGAAGTTATGCTCAGAACCGAAGTCTGAGGACAGTGTGATGATCCAGGATGATAAACACGAATTTCTTATTTAAACATGGATCTCCAGGGAACAGGTAATAGCACCAAACGCATTTGGGTGAGGTCAGCAATCCCTCTTTTATCATCTCTCTGAAGATGAACACTTAACTCATATACGAGAACCTCTCACTCAGGAATCCAAAAAACAGGATGTCTTGAGGGAGAAGACACAAGTTCTTATGCATCTCTGGCAAGAAAGTTTGTTCTTTTCTTTGGGAATTGGGCACGCTTTCATGAAGACATTTCTAGGTCTGTGTCCTATGTTTTCTTTGGCAATAACATGAACTGGCTCACACATGGAGACTGGTTCTGTGGACTGTTGCCCAGGCTGGAGTGCGGTGGTGTTATCATAGCTCACTGTAGCCTCAAACTCCTGGGCTCAAGTGATCCTCCTGCTTCAGCCTCCCAAGTAGGTCAGACTACAGGCACATACCACTATGCCCAGTTGAATTTTAAAATTTCTTGTAGAGACAGAGTCTTGCTATGTTGCTCAGGCTGGTCTTGGAACTCCTGGACTCAAGCAATCCTCCTGTCTTGACCTCCCAGAGTACTGAGATTACAGGCATGAGCCATCATGTCCACTGCTTAACATTTAGACCAAGGTGGTTTTCCAACTGAATGACATCTGTTTCCTGCATTCTTAGACTTTGATAACCTCAGATTCCATCGTCTTTTTTGCTAATGAAGCGAATGAGAGCAGCTAACGTTTACCGAGTTTTTGCTTAAAGCTAAGCACTGTACAACAACAGTATTTACATGTATCCTCACATTAATTCTATCATGATTTCCTAGTTGAAGAAACTGGACTTAAAATAACTTGCTCAAAGTCACGCTGCAAACAAGTCACGAAGACAGTGCCCAAACACAGGCTTAGTTTTCAGAAACATCTTGCCTGATGATGAATGCCTGATTTCTCAAAGCAGCAGAAAATGAACACTATCGTTGCATTTTTCATTTCCTGCTATACTAAGATCTCAAGATCTTAGTCATCCTGGCCCACATGAAAGTATGTTGACTGCCATACTATAAATGTGTCCTAAGACAGTATAATCTGGTTATGGCATATGTTATATTTGGTAAGTGCTAACTATATGCCAGGTATTGTTCCAAGTGCTTTACATTTAATTTTATGATGGGTGATGCTGATGAGGTATGTCATAATGGTTACTCCTCACATTTTACAGATGAGGAAACCATGGCACAGAGAGGTTAAGTACTTGCCTTAGGTCACACAGCTAGTAAGTGGTACAGTTGCTATTCAAATCTGGTAGTTTGGTTCCAGGACCAATGTTTTTAACCACTAACCTACATTGCCTCTCATATATAAAGTCATATATCCGAATAAATGGATAGGTGAATGAGTATATATGATTATTTTGTGACTTGCTTTTGGTCTCAGAAGATTTTTTTGTTGTTCTTGTTGACTCTGGACACTCTGTTCTAATGGCATTTCTGATTTCTAGCCATTCTGGATCCTAGAATAATTCCTGGGTATGTCCTCTGAGCACCATTTTTCCCTTGAGGAAAGTAGGGTTAGAATTGAAATTTCAAAAACTCTCATTAGGCTGGGCATGGTGGCTCAAGCCTGTAACCCCAGCACTTTGGGAGGCTGAGGCGAGAGAATTGCTCGAGCCTAGGAGTTTGAGACCAGTCTGGGCAACATGGCAAGACCTTGTCTCTACAAAAAATAAAAAAAATTAGCAAGTATGGTGGTGCGTGCCTGTAGGACCAGCTACTTAGAAGGCTGAGGCAGAAGGATCACCTGAGCCCAGAAGGTTAAGGCTGCAGTGACCATGGTTGTGGCACTGCACTCCAGCCTAGGTGACAGAGTGAGACTCTGACTCAAAAAAAACCCAAAAACCAAAAAACCAAAAAAGCCCTCACTAGGATTTTTAGTGCAACCTAAAGAAGGGAAGAGAGCCAAGAAAAACGGCCTGGACTTCTTGCCAACTTGGCAATAGGAATTTGGAGCAGAGTTGATTTGGTTTAGTAAGATCAAGAAACATGACTTTTTTTTAAACACTTGGGATATGGAGCAATTTGTAACTTTTGGTTACATTTTAAAACATTCAGATGACTCCCTAAAGCCTTTGAAAATGTTTGATGGCCTACCACAAGCACACCAACAGGTACCCTGAACCTGTCCCTCACTTGGGTCTTCTGTTCTCACTCCATTATCTTCCCTGGAAACACCACTTGAATTCCATTACTGGATCCAGAAATGAGTGGAAGTTTCTGTGGAATTCCATCACGAAGGGCCCTTCTCATGGGTCCCACCTTGAAAACATGACTGTTCCCAGCATCCATCCTCATTTTCTTCCTCAAGTCATAGAGGCCCCAGTTTTTGGTGGAAAAAATGGCTCCCATGGGCAAAAGTTACATCCCAGCTCCCAGCGAAGTGGTGTGGATGTGCCCAGCATCCCAACAGAGAAACTTGGGCAGGTCAACGTACACTCCTGCCTTTGAGGACTGGGAAGTGTCCTTAAGAGTGGGGGACACATCCTTCCTCATCATCTCATTCTCTCTGCTGTCTGGACTGTGGGGTTAATGACCAGAGCTTCCGAGGCCATTGTGGACTACAGTGTGACCTGGAGAATGAAACCACCCATGATGGAGCAGTCATATAGAAAGAAGGTGGCCGATCTCTGACACAGAGAGTCTCATATAAGCCCTGGACTGATCACATCTAGACTTTCTGTTATTTTTATTTACTTTTTGTTAGACATAGGGTCTCACTCTCTTGCCCAGGTTGAAGTACAGTGGCACAATCACAGCTCACTGTAGCTTCAAATTTTAGCTCAGATGATCCTCCCACCTCAGCCTACCATGTAGTAGTCCTTATAGGCCCATGCCATCATGCCTGGCTAATTTGTAAATATTTTTCGTAGAGATGAGGTCTATTGCCCAGGCTGGTTTCCAGCTCCTGGGCTCAAGTAATCCTCCTGCCTTGGCCTCCCACAGTGCATCCAGCCTAGATTTTTTTTTTTTTTTTTTAAAGTATGAGAGAGACGCTTCTATTCTGTTTTTTTTTCCTCCTGCTCTTTGGAGCCAAAGATAATTATAACTCATACAAGTAATATCTTCCAAGAAAATGTTGATTTTTCCAGAGAAAGTCAGTGACAGAAAAAAAACTGGATCCTTTGCAAGAATGAGTCTTGCATTAAGGTTTTTACAAAGGTGCCTTTAATTCTTCAAACTTAGGGAGAGCTAGGCCAGCCCCACTTACCTCGATAGTCAGGATGACAGGCATCAAATCTTCATAGGTAACCTTTATCTTCTCAATTGCTCGTTTTGCCTGGACATCTGTCTCTGCAATCACAGCACATATGATCTGGCCTACGCAGATTACCTGTGGAGAGTACAGACAGGAAGCAGGTGGATAATTCTGGTGGGAATTTTCGTCCACCAGTGACTGGTGTCTGAGATGTCACTGTGGATCAAAAATGACCACATTGGAGTTACGTTCAACTATAGTTTGGCTACAATATCAAAAAAATACATATTTTTTGAGTCAGGATCTCATTCTGTCACCCAGGCTGGAGTGCAGTGGCTCAATCACAGCTCACTGCAGCCTTGACTTCCTGGGCTCAGACAATCCTCCTGCCTTAGCCTTCCAAGTGGCTGGAACTACAGGTGTGCACCACCATGCTTGGCTAATTATTTTATTTTTTGTAGAGACAAGGTCTTGTTATGTTGCCCAGGCTGATCTCAAACTCCTGGACTCAAGCGATCCTCCCACCTCAGCCTCCCAAAGTGTTGGGATTATAGGCATGAGCCACCACACTCAGCCAAAAAAATATTTTTAATGAAAAATAATTTAAAATCGACTTCCCATATGACCCTGCAATCCCCCTACTGGGAATATACCCTGAAGAACTCAAATCACTCTACAATAAATAAAAAACTAGCCGGGCATGGTAGCGCGACCCTGTAGTTCCAGCTACTTGGAAGGCTGAGGCGGAAGGATCGCCGGAGCCCAGCAGGTCGAGGCTGCGATGGCCGGGAGCGGCCTCTGCACTCCAGTCTGGGCGACAGAGTGAGACTCCAACTCAAAAAAAAAAAAAAAAAAAAAAAAAATTTAGGAGAAATTGAGAACTATTCCCTTTTGATATGTGAATGTTTGAACTTTGACCACTGCTCTATTTTTTTAAATTTGATTACCATTAGAAATATATAAGTATGATACAAGGACAAGTATATACATATGTGGGATAAAAGAATAAGAATATGAATATTTAAAAATATATATAGACTC